TTTCAGCATTTCCACCCCTGTCCATGTACTTGCTCCCACATGAGCGATCAGTGAGTCACTGTGAGAACACCCAGCTCTGTCCTGCACCAGCAGCCCCTTGCTCAGCCTTGGCCTGGGTTTGAGTGTTCCTGTAACCAGTGAGCCTCCTGACCCCTGGGAACACTAATCTGAAATTAGGAACTTCCCACCTTCCCCTTGAAAATGTAAATCCTGCCATACAGGACCACCTTATCCAGAGAATAACCAAGCCTTAAAGGTTCCCTCAGGAACATATATACAGATATTATATATGTTATTATATTAGATAATGCACAGCAGGTGACACAATTTCATCTTACTCTTGTAACACAGACACCAAGATCTTATTTGAGTGAGTCCTAAATATTTTCACAGCTCTTAATACTGCATCCCACTTCTCCATTAGCTCGTGTGAGCCTAAGACCCCACCAGTCCCTTGCCCTGTTCTTCTCTTCTGGAATTCACCCCTTCCCTCCTCTCCACCCTTCTTTTACCTTTAGGCATTATCCAGCTCCAGAATTTCTTGCCGATATAGCTTCTCCAGCTACTTTAGCTCTCCTCGCTGTTAGCCAGGGTGAGCAGCTCCCTTTAACCTCTTCCTGCCCCAGGGCAGGTCCCTCGCATTAACAGCACCTCCCCCGCAGCAGCACCGCACCCTCCTTCCCTTGCCGCCGCACTCAGTAATTCCCACCAAACCCACAACCGGCCGCACAATTTAACAGCGAATTCAAGGATTGCCCGGCTCCGCTGGCCGAGCCCCGGCCGCTCCCGGGGAAAGGAGCAGCAGCTCTCGCTGGACATCATCGGCCGCCCCAGCAGCGGCCGCGGCTCCCTGGGTCAGCAGCATCTCTTCCGCTCCTTACTAGATTCCCTAATTACATAGAAATGAGGGGTAGTGGCTGAAAAGGAATCATTTTCAGGTTAAAGTGTGTGTCTAAATTAATTCTATCTCCTTTTTCTTATTTTTTCTTTTTTTTTTTTTTTTGTTTTTTGTTTTTGTTTTTGTTTTTGTTTTTGTTTTTTTACGAGGTGTTATTTTTTTTCCCAGTAAGCTAGTTTTGGAGATGGGATACAAACCAGCTTTGTGCAGTTTCAGGGGTATTTTTCCCGTGCCTTTTATTTTCCGAACTTACGGCTAACAGCGGGTTTGTGGGGCTTTTTGGGGGTTTTTTCCTAATAAAAAGGTAGAGAAAAATAAAGGGGAAAGTGGAAAGGAACCGTAAGAGGGGAAAAATATTCTTTTGCCACGGTGTGTTAGTATTTCTGTCGAAATTCCGAGAGATGGAAATCGGAATGAATTTTCACGTGCCTCAGTTGGTGTTAAAGGCAGCAGAAAAGGGTGAAACACTCCGTTCTTCTCCCGGTGTAACTCCGCGCCCCTCGCTCGCTTCCATCTGTTGAGTTCCAGACGTGCCGCCGCTGCCCCGGGAGAGCCCCAGCCCCGGGGGCTCCCTGGAAGCCTCCGCCCGCTCTTCCTACGGAGCTGCTCCTCCTCGTTTCTTCCACCTGCTTAATCACATTTAAATATATTAAATACTTTCCCATTGTCGCTCTGGCACAGGAGTAATTGCCGCAGTTGCCATGGGGATGTTATGACAACACGGGGGGGATGCCCGCGCCGTGAGAAGAGGCAGAGGTGTCCCCTCGCCGGGGGACGTGGGAAGTTCGTGTGCCTGGCACCGGCGCTGCGCTGAGATCAGCCCGGGAGCCGCGGGGTTCCCGGTGTCCCGGGGGAGCGCGGAGGAGGGATGGCCGGGAGCGGGGCGAGGGCTGGCACGGTGAGAGCCGCGTTCCCTCAGTCGGTGCCACCGGCGGCAGCTGTGTTTGCTCAGCGCCGGCACAAAAGGCCGCCCCGGCCCATCCCATCCCATCCCATCCCATCCCATCCCATCCCATCCCATCCCATCCCATCCCATCCCGTGCCTCCTCTCCGGGCAGTGCCGGGATGCGGGGCGGTTTCCAGCCTGGGAAACGGGGCGGCGAGTCCCGTGGCCGCGGGAAAGACAGAGCGGGACTCGGGACTCTGTCTCCAGTAAAACAACCTGGCCCTGGCTGCCCAGGCCGCCTCCTGGAATCAGGACCACAGCCCTTCCCTGCCGTGGGTGTTCCCCCGGCCCCAGCAGCGGGCAGGGGACTCTCCGGGCCGGCGACACCAGCCCGACACCCGCCCGCTCCGAGCCTCCTCCACCGGCGGGGCCTCGGCAGCCAGCCGGGGATGCGGAGGGGTGGGGAAGAGGCGGCTCTGGAAGCGTGGGAGGGTAGCTGGGGTTCCCCCCTCAGGCTGGAAACCAAACTGGCCGGCCTGGAAAAGGGACCTGGAAAAGGTCGCCCCGCCGCCCTCCCCGGCCCGCTCAGCCCGGCCGGGCTGCCGAGGCTGCCTCGCAGCGAGCACGGCGCGGGGAGGTTCATTTTAGGTGAAGGAATGTCATTTCGCTACTAAATGGTTAGTCTAATTTGATCTTTATTATGCTGTGGATTAGGACTGATTCATATTAAACACGAGTGCAGTTAATATAACTCTGGAACGTGTCCCGCTGTATGTACAGCAGCCGCTGCTACAGCTCCGCCGCTTTCTGCGACCCGTGGATTAAGATTTAATTAACAGGGAAGTTTGCGAGCGCTCGCCCGCAGCCTCTCTGCTTCACAAATAATTTATACCCCGTTCCGCCGATTTTTATTCAAGTGACAGCATTTTATTTTACTCTAAAAGGGACCTGAATATTTTATGTTCTGCTAGAGGCTTCTGTATGCGAACCTCTCCAAAGCAGCTCCAAATCCAAGGGATTTTTTTTCTTTCTTTTTTTTTTTTTTAAATCTATGGGAATTACTTCAGTACGATACTTTATCAGAGACTCTCACACCCCCCTCCCTCCTCCTACTCCCCCCAGTCCAACTGCCTAAACTACCCATATGAAAGTTAATCGTCGTGATCCCCATTGTCGGTTGTATAAATCCAAACTCAAGCCAACCTCCAAGACACTGCAACAATTCTGATAAATTGTCCTGCTCGCCTAACTACACAAGAATGGCTTTTATAATTAAAAGGGGAGCTGAGTTAAATCAACAGCTCCTAAGCCCTTCTCAACAGGGCTAGAATAGGAGAAATGTGGCGACCTGATTTCTTTAAGTAGCAGCTCTTTGTAGCCCGTTCATAATCCTAGATATGGAAACCCATCCTGCACAAAGTCAGCTGCCAAGCAAAAAAGAAAAAAAAATAGAAAAAAAAAAAGTTTATTCAGATGCTCAACGTCCATCTTTTTTTTCCCCAGTCTAACATAACCCTAGCACTTTATAACCAAACAGACAACTCTTTTTCCAATTAAAGTGGAATTAGGAAACTCAATCAAATTAGCTCACTATTAAAGCCCTTCTTTATTAAACCGTTTTATTGTAGTAATATTAAGTTTCACCCGCTTTTGGAACACGAGACTTTAAAAAGTTTCCCTTGCAATATTGATTTGGCTGCTCCCAGGATGGACCGGGGTCAAAAGTATTTGCCTAGGTGTAATCTGCAATATTTACTTACTTTTTTTGTTGGGGGTTTTGTTTTGGGTTTGGTTTTGGTTTGGTTTTTTTTTTTTTTTTTAAGAAAATGGTAAAATTGTATCCAAGTTGATCAGTCGCATGCGGGATGGAAGAATTGCGTTTTGATGCAATTTGATTTTACCCGGGAGCTCCTTCTGTAGCTGTGGCAGGACTCCTGTCCTCCCAGCCCCACCAGTACATTAACTGGTTGGTAGGAGCCGCGCTGGCAGCTCCCAGCCAATGTTTACACAGTTATATTTGAAGTGAGAAAGTAAACAGTCCAGCTGTGCCACGGAGCGGTTCGCTGGGATTAGGTTTCCATACCAACCAACTTTAGGAGCTTTTACAGTCTTAATTCAACCATGCACTGAACTTGTTCTTTGTGAGTAATAGTTTTCCTGGGCCAAACACTCCCAGGACTGGCAGGAAAGTCACGCTCCGGCCTTCGGCGGGATCGCCTCTCAGGATGCACGGGGGCGCGCCCGCTGCCCCCCGCTCGTCCCAATACAGAAATAAATAGAGGCAGGAAAGCCCTTCTTACTTTTTGATCTCCGAGAATATTTGGACATGGTTGCAAAAAAAAAAAAAAAAGAAAAAATTTAAAAAAAAAATTAAAAAGCCACGCGAGTAGCCTTTACCCTCGGATGAGCTCTGAAAACAGAGAAACCTTCCCTGCGCTGATCTTAACTCATCCACCTCTGCCACAAACGCACCTTTACATTCTGAAAAAACGTCATTATTATAGATCCCTGTGCTTATTTTGACACAAAAACAACTGAAAGACACAATCCAATTTCAGGTACGAGGGGTAAAACCTTACTGCTGCTACACAACCCGCGGGTTGCAAGGTGGGATTTGCTTTAACCAGGCCTCTCTTTGCAACACTTCCAAATTTCCTAAATATGACAAAAACCATCAGATACCAATGTGAGAAATCCTGCTTAAATTTATACCTCTGCAGGTTTGCTGGGGATTTTTTTTTCTGCAGGCATAAATAAGACCAGAACCAGAAATAAGCATATTTGACAATTTCAGTTGAAAAGGAATTTGCTCTTGCTTGTATGCTTCGTTTTTATTTATAAATTTATCTGAAGAATATCTAGTTTGACCATGATAAAAATGTAGTAAACATGTTTGTACTATTTGCATAAACTCCTTTAAATATTGAATGTACTTGTCAAATGAATTGCCCAAAACACACTTCCATCATCTCATAAAATACCACTTGCCATTCATAAGACCGATTTTTTTTTTTAATAGAAAATAACATTTATTTCTATGAAATGGAAACACAGAATTACCTGTTAGAAACAGCAAGAAGTTTGCTACATCGGAACAAGAAAGCAATTTTCTTGCAGATCACAAATGAAGGAGGCTTATTAAACCATCATACACCATTGGCGCCAGGGTCCTACGGACAGTTACAAATATATCTACTTTCCAATGTTATATACAGACCGCAACGTTTCTGGGGGCGGGAAGGAAAAGGTTTTCAATTTGACAATGTTTCATCTATATGCCTGGTAAGTATTACAATGCGCTGCCTAACCTTTAGCTTAACGTTAATACCAAGTTCACCTACGAGTTACATTAATAACTTAGATTTCCATTTTATAACATTATACACTTGCTAGTATACATATATATATATGTATGTGTGTGGGAAAGAGCGCTCGTGTGTGTGCACACCCCACGACGCGCCGAGGATATCCATGCTTATGGCCATAAGCAACAAAGAGTGACTCATGTCTGGACAATGAAAGTGCACCTTTATCACCTTAAAACACCTACGCCTGTCCGCGCCGGGCTCTGCACGCAACCACCGCCCGCACGGGGGAGAGGAAGCCACCCGTGTCCGTCCACCCGTGCCTACCTAGCTACCTCTACACAGACGAGCTTTAGGAAGCCGCTATTGCTTCTCGGGGGTGTTGTTGACCATGGGCCCGTAGAGCCCGCTGGAGTACACCTGCTCCTTGTGCACGGCGGAGCGCTCCCGCATCAGGTCGCTGAAGGCGTAGTCCACGGGCGGCCGGAACCCCAGCGTGGGCATCAGCCCGGCCGTGGAGTAGGGGGTCATGAAGGCCAGTCCCCGGCTGTGCGCCGAGTAGGCGAGGCGCAGCGGGTTCAGTCCCAGGTGGGTGCCCAGGGGGTAGGCGCCGGCCTCGGCCCCGAAGTGCGTGGCGTTGGGCTGCAGCGGGGAGAAAGCGGAGCGGCTGCCCAGCGTGCCGATGGCCGGGGCCATGGCGCCGGCGATCAAGGGCCGGTGGTGGGCGGCGGCGGCGGCGGGCGTGGGCGGCAGGCCCTGCAAGGCGCCGTCCCGGGCCCAGCCCTCCTCGGGGCCCTTCTCCGGGCCGCGGTTGTTGAGGATCTGCTCGATGGCCTGTACCACGTCCCCGCCGCAGCCCTGCAGCACCAGCTCCAGCACGCTGCGCTTGTGCGCCGGGAAGACGCGCGTCAGGATGTCGATGGGAGTCCGCTGCCGGCCGCCGGCCGAGGGCGACGGGTCCTGCTCGTCCTTGTCCGCCTCCGAGCCCGAGTCCGAGCCCAGCGGGCTGATGGAGCCCGGGCTCTCCTCCCCCTCCTTCGGGCCCTTGGAGACGGGTGAGCTCAGGAAGGACTCGCCGTCCCCGTTCTCCGAGCCCGAGCCGTGGCGAGCATCTGGGGAGGAGGTGCCGGGCACGGACTCGCCGTCCGGGGAGAGGGGCTTCCCGCCCGCCTGCTGCGGGGTGACGGCGCGGCTCGGCAGCAGCGTCTTGGGGAACAGCTCGAACTTCTGCATCTTGGACTCTGCGGGCCGGGGGGGCACAAGGAAGAGACACCGTCAGTGGGGCGGGCCCCGCGGAGCGCCCGGCCGTCGGCGGGCCACCCGCCCGCAGCTCCGCGCCCCGCTCATCTCCCGCCGCCTCTCCAGGCCCCTTCCCCTCATCATCACACCGCTCCGAGGGCTCGCAGCGCGGCCTTACCTGAGGCGCCGGCGCCTCCCTCGCCGCCGGCCCCGGCGCAGACGGAGCCGAACACCTCGTACGCGGGCCGGGGCGGGATGATGCCGTTGGCGGCCGCCAGCGCCAGCCCCTCGGCCGTGCCGTAGAGCAGCTGGAGCTCTCGGGCCTCGTTCTCCTCCTGCGCCTGCTGCCGGCGCAGCGCCACCTGAGCGGCCATGACGCGCTGGCGCTCGGCGATGAGGGTGCACTTGGCGCACATGCAGTCCTTCCAGCGGCAGTACCTCTTGTGGCCCTTCAGCGCCGACACCACCCCGTGGTTGCGGCACCGGGCGCACTTGGGCGTCCGCGGGTACTTCTCGGCCGCCCGCAGCAGCAGCGGCGGCGCCCGCAGCAAGCTCCCGGCCACGCTCACCGGCAGCGTGGCCGCCGCCGCGGCCGCCGCGGCCGCCACCGAGCTGGGGGGCACCGGGGGGGGCGCGGCGGGCACGCTAGGCAGCTCCGACCGCAGCTCCATCCCGGCGAGCCCGCCCCGAGAGAGCGGCCCCCCCTCCCCGGCCTCCCCCAAAGCGACGCGGGGCGGGGGAGCCCCTGCGCCGCACCCGCGCCCGGGCGCGGAGAGGCTCCCGTTGCCTTCGAGCGCAATCACGAGCGGGGGGCACACAGGGCCCCGGGAGCGGGCATGCAAACCCCAGCGCCTGTCCCCTCGCCTCGCTCGACGCCCCCGTCCCCCCGAACCGGTACACGGCCCCGGAGCGGGGTTCAAGTGAGGAGGGGCCCGTCGGGAGCCGTTCCGCGCCCTCCTCCCCTCCGCGCCCCAAAAGCAAAGCTAACACAAGAAAATCCAAGAAAACTTAGATCACTCTCGCTTCCTCGCTCTCCGTGCGCATCTGGCGGGGCAGCACCAAGTTCATCGCGCCAGGCTCGAAGCCGAGCTCTCCCGTCCGCGCTTGCGGGGTCGCCGCTCCCCACGGCGCCCGCTGCAACCCGAGCTGCTCGCTAAGCTCCGTTCCCCCGTCCCCCTGTAACTGCGGCCACAGAGTAGCAGCGTCCCTTCAAAGAACAATCCGGCACCTTCAACGACAGGATCCCTCGCCACGAGCCGCGGAGGCTAAAATCCAGCAGAGAACAGCGAAAAAATAAAATAAAATAAAATCGCCCCGTCTCCCGAGCAGCACCTCCGCAGCCGGGCGGACGAGGCGGGCTCATCCGCCGCGGCGAGCGCGGAGCAGGCGGGCGGAGCGGCGGTGGGGCCCCGCGGGACGCGGAGCGGCCGGAGCGGAGCGGAGCGGAGCGCGCTGCCCGCCGCGCCCGCCGCCACTCGCGCTATTGTTGCGGCCCGCGTTGCCATTAGGCAACATTTGACAACAATGTGGCGCCTGCCATTGGCCAGGGCCCGCGCGCGCCGCGCTGATTGGCCGCCCCGCGCCGCGCCGCGCCCGCGGAGCGCCGGGAGCGCCCGGGGGGCAGCGCGGGGACAGCCTCCCCTCTTTCTCTCTCCGCACTCCCTCTCTCTCTCTCCACACACCCGCAGGTGAATCCCAAGCGCTGCCGCAGCAGGAGAAGCCCGAGGTGAGTATGATTTTCCATCCTTTCGCTGCGCTTTAGGCTGGGGGAGCCCTGCCCGCCCTTCGCTCCCCAGAAAGTAAAGTTCGTTCTTTCTCCTGCCAGCTGTTTGCGTGACTACATGTTCAACAGGCGCCTTCCCCGCGGGGACAATAAACCCGAGGGAGTGATTTTTGAGGAGGAGGAGGCTGCCGGGCTGGTAACTGTATATTAACCCCGGAGCTTTTGTTTTAGCATCAGCCACCCGGGTTTGACGTCACCTTCGCTGGTAGCGGGAGGAGGTAGCGCTTCGGTGGGAAATAACGCCGTCTCCTTTCCCCAGGGTTCTCCCCTCTCTTTCCCACGAGGGATCTCCGTCCTCGGCACTTTCTAAAGTTTTTTTTTCACGAGTCCATGCCCGTAGCGGGAACCGTCTGCCGCTGGTAGAGGCCTCCTCCCGCCGCTTCAGCATCCCCACCTGCGCTCCCACGCCGCGAGAGCTGTTCCCGGTGCCTTCCCGGGCGGGTGCCCCGGGAGGAGAGAAGGGCCCGGCTGCGCTCGGAGCCTGCCGGCGCTGCCGCCGCTTCCCCGCGGGCTGGAGCCCGCGCGGGGCCGCGGGACAGCCGCGCTGCGGGACGCGCAGCGCTCGCTGCTGCTGCCGTGACTCTTCCCCCGGCCACTCTCCTTCCGTGGTTGCAAAAAGCGCAATTGCAGAGCCCTCCAAATTTTCAATATTTTTATTACACTTACATCCGACTTCTACCTTTTTTTTTATTTTTTTTTTTTGGACACGAAATGAGCGCTTTCCTACCCGATTTTCTGCGGGTGCAGCTGCTGCCCACTCCTCGTGATTTAGGTGTTATAACACCTTTATTTATTACAGCAGCCAAGTCAAAATATCGGATTTAATTTTATTCGCAACCACTAATTTTATTCTCCGGGGAGTATTACTTAAACCAACTGATTTAATTGCGAATTCGTAGAACTCGATAAGATCTAACAAGGAACATTTAAAGTATTGTTTTATGTTCGTTTGACATGGAGAAAATGTTCTCCCTTTTTCCTGGCAGTTGTGTTTGGGGTTACGATGGGGTTTTTTTCAGCAAATACCTTCCCTTTCCCCCCGAGGCAACCCGCCACCAACAACAACACAGGACGGGTTACGCCGATTTCCCCCATTCTCTTGTCTTTCAGCTCTGTCTTCAATTAAAGTCTGGGCTATCTGTTTATGGAGGTTTAAAACTATCTATTTTGGAAACAACCAGGGGGGAAAAAAACAACCAACCAACAAACAAACAGAAAAAAAAAAAAACAAAAACAAAAACAAAACCAAAACAAAACCACCCCAAGAGTGGGTCAGTAATCAGCCAGTGAAACGCCGTGGTTTCTGTTCGGAGCCCCAGGCGTTCAGCGACATTGCAAACGGCGGTGTTGAAGTTGGAGCACACACCGTGCAGCATCTCTGTCCCCAGGCTGTTTCCCGGGCTCCTGCAGCACGGCCCCCTCACTGTGACACGCAGAGTTGGGGTGCGGTGTCCCAGAGCCCAGTGCCCGTTTCTGCTGCTCGTCCAAAGCCAGCAGAGGACACCCCCTCGTCCAAAACACTTAGCCATGAGCTGGTTTTAAATGTTACACTCAGCATCAATCCGACATCGTAATAAAAGAGGTTTATTAAAGAAAAACTTTTAAATTGCAAGAACACGTAACGCAACTCCAGGATTCATCAAGTCCTGAGGACGTTTATCCAAATCTCCCCCAGTTTCAGGGGCGCTTGCCGGTTTCCCACGCCCCGCTCCTCCCCGGCCGCCCCGGCCGGCGGCAGCCCCGGCAGGCGCCCGGAGCCCGAGGGGGCGGGAGGCGAAGCCGCCGCTCCCGGGAAGCGCCGCTCTTCGCCGGGGCCGCTCCTGACCCGCAGCCGAGGCCTCTTCTCGGACTGAGCACCCTGCTCTGGGCCCGGGGAGACTCTGCCTTTCCGCTCCCCAGGAGGGAAGTGGCTGGAGGGGCCGCTTCCAACCAGGACCCAGCTATTCCTGTGTTTCTCTTCTCTTACGAGGTGCGTTTAGAAAAGGAGAGCCCGGAATCACACTTCTCACCGGACTGATATTTTAACAATAATAATAATTTCTCTCCTGTCCGTATTTTCCTTTGAAAACTTTCGCTGTGAACCCAGACTGTTGCACATTTCACAGATTCATTCAAACCAACCACCCCTGAGCTGTGAGTTCCCCCGAGCAGCAGAGGCGCGGCCAGGACTTGCCGTGGGCTCGGGGCTCTCTCCAGCTCCGTCCCGGCCTGCCAGAGCCCAGTGCGTGTGTGAGTACGGACGGGAGGCAGCGGGGAGGTGGATGTTGCTCTCCCCCACCCCTCCCTTTTTCCTCCCTTCTCTCCTGCTGCAATTCACTTCTGTTTGACGAGGCACAATAAAATCTTCTTGTACAACCCCGCTCCCGTGTCTTTCTGGGGGAGGGATGTTTGTTTTAGGCACGCACAGAGCAGCCGCGCTCCCGCTGCCCGAGCGGGACACAAAAAGAGAAATTCATTTCTCCAAACCCGGCGAAATGCGACTTTAAAGCCCCGGAGACTGGTCTCGCTCCCAGCTTGGCTCTGGGAGCGTCAAACCACAAGAGGAAGTCAAGCTTGGAGCCAGCTCCTCTCCCGCTGCCCGCAGGCGCTGCCCGGGCCCCGCAGGAGCGGCCGGGCTGGCACCGGGCACCGGGCGGGGAGCGGGGCGGGTGCCCTGCCCGGGCCGGGCGCGCAAAGCCGCCCACCTCCGGGGCCACCGGGGCTACAGGGTGCTAGAGGGAACCCCACCGTGGTCAGGGCAGCCCGCGCCCTCCAGACGCGTGAAAGCCGATATTACTTCTTTACAGGGATGGCCAGAGACGCCGCGTTTCGTTGAGCGGTGCCCCGGTGGCTGCTCAGTTATCCCCGCTGTGCGTTTGACTCTGGCAGCATCCAGAAACGCACCACGGCCCAGAGCTCACGGCTGGGTCGGCCCGCTAAAACACGGCATTAAATGCTAATTTAATATATTTATTCTGAAGAAGCTCCGATTTCTCCGGTGTTTCTTTCTCTCCTCACTCCCCTCGATTCACCTAAACGCTTCCCGTGTCCGGCTGCTCCGGTGCCCAAGTTCGAGAGGGCTGCAGCAACGGTGCTGCTGCAGCTTCCCCCAGTTGCAGTAGTAAAATCTTAATTAAAAAGCGCCCGGCTATTGGCTGCCATGCGGGGGAAGGGACACGCACGCCCGCAGGCAGCGCAGCCCTCGGAAGCATCCCAGAGAAATATAGTTCTTGATTAGTGTATTTTCATCTCGTTCTTAGCGGAAGACAGTTTGTAAGTACCTGCTAATGTTAGTGCTCTTTAAGGTTTCAATTGTTCTAGGGGGTTTGCCATTGACTTTTTCATTATTTACCTACTGAATCAAAGTAAGCAAATGCCATCTGTTTCCCTGCTGCTATCATCTTCACTTTTAATTATCCGCCCAGCCGCCTAATAGAGATGATATTAAACTAAATCTTTTTGACATTAAAAGTAATTATCCCCAAACCAATATTACAAGAATGAAAATTACCACCGCCACTACCCCCCTTTCAAGAAAAAGGCACATTCCTCCTAGTCCAGGCAACCTCTTCAGATCCGGAGCGAGGACAGGGAGACGGAACTCCCGTTAGCCAGGACTTCTCAAGTATTTGAAACATTATTAACTCGATTTCCCGGCTCCCAGTGGGGGAGGAAAAAGCGACAAGGGGGAAAGATTTGTGGAAGAAAATAAGGGAAATTCGGGGCTCCGCGCACTCCTGCGCGGGCTCCTCTCCTCCCGCAGCCCGGCGGTGGCACGGGGGGAGCCGGGGCTGCCTGACCCCTCGTGTACCCAACTCGGGTACCCAACCCCGGCTTTTGGGGACGAGCACATCCTAAAGACACAGACACGCGGCCCTCCAAGGGCTCCGCACCATCCCGCGGCACCGGCCGCGCATCGCGCTGGCCTTGCGGGGACGGTCATTAGAGGGACACTGGACCGGGGCCGCGATGCAGGGCACGGCGGGTCCTCTGGCAGATGGCCGCCGGCTGAATTACCTCCACAGAGTCATTTCGCTTACTCTCAGACTTCTCCGCCATTTCTCCTCCGACTCGCTTTAATATGAGCCGGAGCCGCGTCCCCCATTTCCTTTAATATGTGCTAAACTGAGCTAATTTTAATTGCATGTTTCAACTTTGCTAATTAAATAGAGTGGTCTAATTAAAAGTGACTAGGGAACAGTTTTAATTCAACCCTCTACTTTTTTAACAATCCATTATGCAACAAATCCAGGGGTAAGCCCTCCCTTTAAAAAAGCTACAGATGATTGAGTTTTTACACCTTTTTACACGCTCACAATGGGGAGACTTGACCCAACATATGTAGCGGTGGGGCCGAGCCCCCCCGGCTCCCCGGCGGGGCATCGCGACCGAGCCGCCTCGCTGCTG